GACGCTATTTTGAAGACCAAACACGAACAATAGAGCAGTTTAAGGAGTTGTTTTATTTGACGTTGGATCCTTGGTTTAATGATGTGGATACTAAGCATATAGATGAGCTGCCCAATTTTTGTTTGTTCCTTTCTGATTTGTATTGATGATACACTTCCTGTGTATTTAACTTTGATTAATATAATATTTGATTATCTTTCAAAAAAAAAAATTTAGGTTGCCAATGAAGAAAGAGAAGACACCCCAAAAACCAAACTACATGCATTAGTGGTAAAAGAAACTTATCATAAGAAATGGAGAAACCCCAAATAGAGAAATTGGTACGTGCTAAAAGTCATGTTATACACGCCTTTTCCCATGATACACCATATTTGAGAACAGATACTGCGGGCAGAGCATTCATCAAGAAATAGAATTACCTTGCAAATAAGCTCCCCTTGAAATCCCCCAGCAATCAATAAATTGCCGCGCACTGCCAGAGTACTAACTTGTGTCTGAGTAAATCCCTCCAGTAAACTTCCTGGGTGTTTCTGTCAGAAAAAGAAAGGAAGTGCAGATTCCAGACGCAATATATTATTGGTGCAAGAGAGAACCATCAAATTCATTAACCTAAATGACTGAAAGCCAATCTTCATAAGAAATATGCACCTCACACGGGGCAACATGGCCAAAAACATTAAGAACTTCTGTCTTCTTGGAAGTTAATAAAGACCAATGAATGATTGAATAATGTGACATGAGGTAAACATCGTGCTTTGACGTAGACCAAACAAAGTTCCTCAACTGCAATGACAGACATAATGATGAATAAGTCAAAATCTAAACCAACACATAGGTGCCTAAATGCCAAAACAATAAACAAAATTGTGCTATTGCTCATGATACTATTCTAAGAAAAAGCCACAACAAGCTAATCAAAATTGATATCAAAAGAAGCCCAATATTCAAGTCTATTTCACCACGTAGTGTGCAAATAAATCACCACATGAATCTAGTTTTTTACTATTCATCATTAGCATAACGGGTATAATATTCCTGCATATTAACTTAAACTTGACCTCCAGGTTCAACAAGGTATAGCTTCATGTGAAAAGATGACAGAAAGCAATTCTAAGATCATTTAATGTGATAACACATTCTCTATGTGCCCCCACCCCACCCCTTGTGCGCACAGGCAATGTAAGAGTAGCAATAAAGAAACATTGTGGATAGTGATAACCTTTCCGGTGAACTCATTATCACTCGCTCTTCCAGCATATTCATACCTCAAGTCTGCCAGTAAGTTAATAACTCGCCTTAAGAATGCCTAGCTTATGCTAGAATATATAGGAGTTCAATTGCCTCCAAGATATCAATCAAACATCCAATTCTTCTTATCATCATAAATCATAACTCGACCGTTTCACGACAGAGATCAATGCAAAGTCCTTTCACTCACCCGCACCCACCCCACCTTCGTCCTGCATATTTGATCAAATACTTACACATAGGGCTGGGCGTGGGTTGGGTTGGATTGGTGTTGAATCCAATCAAAACTAAACCCAACATGTTCAGTTTGACAATAATTCAAACCGAAACCAATCTCATTCACGGTTGAAACCCAACCTAATTCAAATCGACCAAACTCGGGTTAGTTTAGGTTGGGTTGATTGGTTGGGACCTTTTTCGTTGAATTTGAACAATTTTTTAAAAGTTTGATACCATTTCAATTTGGACCAATTTTAATTACATTAAAAATGGTGATTTGAAAGGCCTTAAGTCGATTGAAGTTGGATCAATGGTCCGTGGGGTTAAGTTCTATTCCAATATAACAATATAAATAAAAAATATTGTAAAACATGTTAAATAGATTATATCATGATCAAATTAAATACATATTAAATCAATCTAAATACATGTTGAGTACTTGCATATTATACCTATTGAATAATATGAATTCAACATAAATACTAAAAATGTTAAATCATTCAAACTCAATAAAATAAAATGAATTCAACATAAATACTAAACATGTTAAATCATCCAAACTCAATACAAAATCTTTTCCTTCAATCCAAGTATTTAGTCAAAAATACGTCAAAAAATCGAGTCAAGAAGCCGAGGCACGAACAACAATGAGAGGTAGAAGAGACAAGAAGCAGAAGAGACGTGAGGCAGAGGAGAATTTTGATCATTAGATTTTAGGTTTTTAAGTACTAATTTTCTTTTTAATTTTTTTTTATTATTGGGTTGGGTTTGATTGGATTTTAATAGAAAACCCGACCCAATCCAACCTAAAATTTGATTTCCTAACCCGAAACAAATCCAATTGAACTTAAAAACCAATCCAAACCAGTTAGTTTAGGTTGGGTTGATCGGTTTGACTGGTTTGGATTGATTTTTGCCCGGCCCTACTTACACGCCTCTTTGAGCATGGTATTTGCTATTTACTGCAGTCAAAGCCAAAAAATAATTCATGAATAAATTTATAGAAATTGTATGTAGGCAAGCTAAAATCCCACTTGTACCCAATTTGAATTCAGAACCTACAAGTCATTTGGAACATTTCAAAGGACCTCATCTTACCTGAAAATGCAAGATAGTTGATTTCACAGATCTAGTGTTCTGCCCGAACTCATAATACACTCCACCTTTCCTAGTAGGCTTGCATTCCTGAAAAAAAAAAATCAAAAACTAGTTGTTATAAATTATAATAATCAATAGAAATAAAAATAAAAATAAAAAATCTTAAGGTAAAAAAAAAAAACTTAAGGTGGCAGCTATAGTTACCATGTAAAACTGAAAGTTACCTTCTCTGAGCCGGCTCCGGATTGGGGTATATTTTCATAATTCTTATACTGTTCTACTCTACTCTGCCTATACTTCTCCCTGGAAATGCTTAGTCTTTCCCATGGAATTCCTTGAATATCCTTTCCTCTCCTGGCCTCAGCAGCAGATGTATCCATAATCTTATTATCCTAATTCCATAAATCATTTAATTCGTATCACCAGTGACAAAACCAAAGAAAAACATAAAAAATCATTCAAGAAGTAATGATAATCAGGGGCTGAATGCGTATATGCAAACTTGTACACATAAATTGAACAAACCAAATGCTCATATTCAATCTCATCTTCATCATCAGACTCCGTGTCTCCCATTATTTGACCTGCGAAGTACATATTCTCATCTACTTCACCTATCTCATTATTGCCAGCAGCATAGTCCATTTCTTCTTCTTGGAAGGACATTTCTTTATTTCGATTTCACTGACTCGTTGGCTGCAGCAAAAGCAATGCCCTATCATATAAAATAAAACTCAAGTATTTCGATGCAAAAGAGGCACGGGTAGAACCGAAAAGATCATATTTTGAATTTTGTTAAGACAGCAACCGAGGTTTTTTCAGTCAGAGAATAAACAATAATAGCAGCAATAAGATGATAATTCCGAAACTCGCTAAACGTATAACATATCCATAAACATCAGTACGTACAAGAAACTTAAAAGAGGAAATTTTTATCAATTCAAGGGAAAAGAACAGTGAAACAAAAAATGCACGGTGAAGAAACCCTAGACGCAAAAATCAACAATTATTAGCAAGAAAAGGTACGAAACAGTAAATGACTAATCAAATTCATGGTGAAAATAAAGATGAAACTCCGATTCTAACCTCGAATTCCAACCACTCTATATATTTACTATTTTAGTAACATACCAAATCGTTAAACAATAATAAGTATTCCGATCGAGAAAAACTGAACCGCAATCTCTGTGCATCCGATTAAATTTTACGAAGGCAATCCGTCGAAAAGTGGATACAAAATTGTGATATATCTATATTACTCTTAAGACAGTAATTTTCAGTATTGCACATTCAATTGCGGTGAATATCACAGGATAAAATATTCCAATTGTGGTATCCAACCAAAACAAGTGACCAACAGAATTCCATAAAGTCCTTCCCGCATGTAGTAACACACCATTAGTCACTCATAATTTTTTTTTGTTTCACTAGTTAAAGTGACCGCAAACACTACTACGATCAAATTAGTGAGTTGGAAGACGGAATATGGGACGTCCATGATGTTCACCAGAATGTGATTTTTAGTGATAGTGAACTTACGGGTAGTGATAATATAAAACTTGTGCTCCTTTTCTCTTTTCAGCAACCACTCCTACGGTGCAAGTGTGGTATTTATAATGAGAAAGGAATAAAAGAAGAATCGTTGGATGTGGAACACGTGGCTCTAAATTTAGAGTGATCCTCTCGTATGTGTCGATTCATCAATTCATAGGTGGGCAGTTCATTTAATGCCCCTGATATAGTAATGCGTGATTTGACATTTTGGAGTCTCCTATACGTCACATCAATCAGTTCTATGGATTTGGTTCTTGAGATTTTTCCATAAAAGGTCTTATAGTACACAGGGTTGAAGTGGAGCGATTGTGGCAGGAGTGATAATCACGTTTTGGATGTCATCACTTCAAACTTAGTTTCGGTTGCGATGAAATGATGTGGAGTGCAGGCCTTTGCATCCGTCAGGGTGGCAGATGAAATCAGTTCGTCCGGTATGTGGCGGAGTGCGAAATCAATTCGTTCGCCATGTAGAGGATGAATCCAATTCATCCACCACATGGCAGTAGTTTTCAATTCATCCCTTGACGTGGCGATGACGTGGAAGATGACTTGGAAAAAACCCGTAACAATAGTCCCTTAAGTCTATGTATGGATATTTATATCATGTGTATACTTTGTTGATGTAGCCACTTAAAAAGAGTGTTACTTCGGTCGGGTATAGGCATTGGTTGCAATTTTCTGACTGAAAATTGTGGTAAAGGCAAAATCCTAGCAGAAGGGCGAAGCCTTGATTAATGGAAACTTTTAAGGAAAGTTGTGGCATAGGCGAAGTTCTAGTAGAAGGATGAATCCATGATTGATTGCAATTTTAAGGAAAGTTGTGGTAAAAGCGAAGTCCTAGTAGATTGATCAGTCCAATGAACATCAAGGGATCGCCTCCGAGGCTTTAGAGGAGGCCAATAAGGATAGAGCTGAGCTGAGGATGTTAACTCAAGCCCAGAAGGAGGAGATAGAATCTTTGAATGCAGAAGTGAAGACAGTAGGTGAGGTGTCTGTGCAAAACTACATCAACAACTTCGATCAAATGAAAGGGTATGATAACTGGCTTCGGCCTTGAAAATTGTAATGAATGCAATGGTCTTTTTCTTAATTGAGACGTGTAATTGCTTAGCTCGTATGAACAATAGACACATCGCTTCAATGAATGAAGAAGTGTAAACAACTCGCATCAACTAATGTAAACACCTCGCTTCAACTAATGAAGAGCGAAAACAGCTCGCTCCAACTAATGTAAACACCTTGCTTCAACTAAGAAAAAATTGTAAACAACTCGTTCCAACGAATGAAGAACTGTAAACACCGCTTCAATGAATAGTGTAAACACCTCTACAAGGGCGTTTTCCACGATGGATGGTACATATGAGGAAAATATCACATTTAAAGGAAAAATGAGGTGACCTCGTTGGGGGTGTTACGTGCCTCTCCTAATGAAGTGGACATCCTTAATAGAGGTGGTCTTGTAGAAGGCATCACACACCTCTTCAAAGGCGTTTTCCACGATGGATGGTGGAAAACATCACTTTCGAAGGGCAAATGAGGCGACCCCGATGGGGGTGTCACGCGCCTCTCCTAACGAAGTGGACATCCTTAACAGAGGTGGCCCCATAGGAGGCAACACGCACCTCTTCAAGGGCGTTCTCCACGGTGGATGGTGTATCCATGGAAAACATCACATTCGAAGGGCAAATGAGGCGACCCCGACAGGGTGTCACGCGCCTCTCCTAACGAAGTGGACATCCTTAATAGAGGTGGCCCCGTGGGAAGCATCACGTACCTCTTCAAAAGCATTCTCTATGGTGGATTGTGCATCCGTGGAAGGCATCACATTCAAAGGGCAAATGAGGCGACCCCAGTGGGGGTGTCATGCACCTCTCCTAATGAAATGGACATCTTCGATAGAAGTGGCTCCGTGGGAGACATCACGCACCTCTTCAAGGGCGTTCTCCACGGTGGATTGTGCATCGGTGGAAAGCATCACTTTTGAAGGGCAAATGAGACGACCTCGATGGGGTGTCACGTGCCTCTCCTTACGAAGTGGACATCCTTGATAGAGGTGGCCCCATAGGAGGCAACACGCACCTCTTCAAGGGCGTTCTCCACGGTGGATGGTGCATCCATGGTAAACATCACATTCTAAGGGCAAATGAGGCTACTCTGGTGGGGGTGTCACGTTTCTATCCTAACGAAGTGGACATCCTTAACAGAGGTGGCCCCGTATGAGGCATCACGCACCTCTTCAAGGGCGTTCTTTATGGTGGATGGCGCATCCGTGGAAAGCATTCAAAGGGCAAATGAAGTGACGTCGGTGGGGGTATCACGCCCCTCTCCTAATGAAGTGGACATCCTTGACAGAGGTGGCCCCATAGGAGGCATCACGCACCTCTTCAAAGGCGTTCTCCATGGTGGATGGTGTATCCGTGGAAAGCATCACATTCAAAGGGCAAATGAGGTTACCCCGGTGGGAGTGTCACGCGCTTCTCCTAATGAAGTGGACATCCTTGACAGAG